TTTAAGGTGGATAGGCAAGTCTGAATAGGTGGGTTTTGAGCTGGGTGATAAATATGGAAAGAGAGTCAATATTACGAATGTCAGGTGGTAGTGCGTTCCAGAGTTTGGGGGCAGAGCGACTGAAGGCTCTGCACCCCATTGTGCTGAGACGGGCAGAGGGCAGAGAAAGGTGGAGGGAGGATGAGGACCTGAGTGAGCGAGAGGGAATGGAAATTTGAAGGAGATCTGACAGGTAAGGGGGCGCAAGGTTATGGATGGCCTTGAACGTAAAGAGAAGTAATTTGAAGTTGATTCTAGATTTGACAGGAAGCCAGTGGAGCTGTCGGAGGATGGGGGTGATATGATGGAAGGAGGGGGTTCTCGTGATGATCCGGGCTGCTGAGTTCTGAACAAGTTGAAGTTTATGGAGGAATTTTTGATGGACACCGAAGAGAAGTGAGTTACAGTAGTCAATACGGGAAGTGACGAGACTGTGAACTAGGATAGCAGTAGAGTGAGGAGTGAGTAAGGGACGGAGACGGTTTATGTTGCGAAGGTGGAAGTGAGCAGACCGGGTGATGTTGTTGATGTGGGAGTGGAAGGATAGTGAGCTGTCAAGGATGACACCCAGACTCTTCACCTGGGGGGAAGGAGATACAATGGCATTGTCAATTTGGAGGGAAAAACTGTCGGCTTTGTTGAGAGTAGCTTTGGTACCGACGAGGAGGAGTTCTGTTTTATTGCTGTTTAGTTTAAGGAAATTATGGGTGAACCAAGATTTGATTTCAGAGAGACAGTGAGAGAGAGATGAGGGTGGGAGAGAGGCGTCGGGTTTGCTGGAAAGGTAGAGCTGGGTGTCATCTGCATAGCAGTGAAAGTGTATGCCAAATTTGCGAAAGATGTTGCCGAGTGGGAGAAGGTAGATGATGAAAAGGAGGGGACCCAGGACAGAACCCTGGGGAACACCAGAAGAGACGGGGAGGGATTGTGAAGTAAAAAATTTAAGTTGGATGAACTGAGATCGGCCGGTGAGATATGACTGAAACCAATGTAGGGGGATGTTGGTGATGCCTATGGTAGAAAGTCTATTGAGGAGAATGGGGTGGGAGATTGTGTCGAAGGCTGCACTCAGGTCAAGGAGGATGAGAATGGAGATCTGGCCAGAGTCTGCTGCCATGAGAAGATCGTTTGTGATTTTTATGAGGGCTGTTTCAGTACTGTGACGGGGACGGAAGCCAGACTGGACATGGAGACATGGAGATGGTAATGTAGAGGACCAAATAGAGGGCTGTGGACCGATCCCTGCGGGACTCTCTATGTAACATGGCAAATGCAACGCCAAGATCAAGTAATAATCTTGATGGGGTCCATGGCTAGGGAAAAGATCATTAGTCACTTTAGCAAAGGCTGTCTCAGTCAAGTGGTCGGTCCTAAATCCTGACTGAAGAAATTCAAATCAATTGTTAACGGCTATGTAATCGGCGAGCTGCTACGCTACGACTTTTTCGAGACTTTTGCAATAAACGGGAGATTTGAAACTGGAGACTTTCTGGGTTGATCAGTATATACAATGTGATACACCAATTTACTTGTAAAAGACTATCTTAGCGAGAGTTGGCTCGAACATTACAGACTCCACACCTGTTTGTTCAGGCTTGCTGATCACCTGTAACCCGGACGGCTCAAACAATAATCTACATTTCTCGAAAGAGTGTTGGCACCTTCCCAGTTATATTCTCCGTAAATATTAGCCGTAAATATTCTCCAAAAAGTGAAAAGTTAAAAAAAAAAAAAAATAGGATGTAGGTGAGAGGAACAACCAAAAAAATGCGGGTGTTCGTCTCTCCAGTGAGCACTGTGTTGCAAAGTGCTGGCTGTCACACACAAAAGTACACACAAACTACTTTGCCAACTAACTCTTCCACCATTTCATGGTATACTAAATCAACTGTTTGTGGAGGCCTCTATTTCTTGGCATAGCTGAATATGAATGATTTGATCCCAACACATTTTTACTATGACTCACACCAAAACTCAGTATTGTTGTCACTTTACCTGTCCAGCTTTGGAAGTTTCGCAGACAAATGTAGTTGATGGAAACACCAGTTTAGGTGGGAACTCGTTCACATCCAGGACATTGACCATCACTATCACTTTGGTGGACAGCAAGGGGTTTACTGAAAATAGTCAACATAAAGCCATGAGTAGACACGTGATTATGGCTGTTCACAATTCCTATAATATTGGTAAATACATTTAGAATGATCATGGATGCTGCAATAGAAGTAGTTCTATCACACATAAACATTCAAAAACATGCAGAGCCTGTCAAAGTAACACAGTAGCTTACAGTTTGGAATACGAATAAAGTGAGAAAGTTCATACTTGTTCCACTTAATGCCTCTATCAATTTAATGTAAACCCTTTGTAGCAGAAATGTGCAATAGCTCCCGCATAGTTGAAGGCAAGATTAAAAAAAATGTGTTGCAATTCACCAAGTAAATTTATTTATTCTTTAAACCCCCATGTTTCCATAAATCCATAGGAGCATGTTCTAGCTAGCAGAATACATAAATATAAACATAACTGGGCAGCAGCATCGGGTTGTTTGTTTACTCAAACAAAGATTACGGTATGTAATGTGTTGCGGTTATACCTAATAAGATAAGATAAGAAAACCTTTATTGGTCTCACAATGGAGACATTTGCAATCACCAGCAGCAAAAATTTGAGGGGGATTGGGGGGGAGTAGAAAAAGAAAAAGTATAACATGCACAAAATGTTTAAGAGAAAAAAAAATAATTGTACACGGTACAGAATGCAATACAAAATATAAAAATACAAAAATACAGATACAGATATATACAGATACAGATACATAATAATGACTACTTACTGACTTTGTTTGCTACCACAGTGATGTTGTGCTGAAATACTTCCTCTCTGTCCAGGTATTCATTCAAGGAAATGGTGCCATCAATGCTGTCAATATCAAAATAGCTGTCATACTCTTTCTGCCATTCAAGTGAATATCTGCATAAATCAGACCAAAATGTCAGGGGAAACTTAGATGAGGGAAAGATCAATTCTTGGCTAACACACGGTAAACAAGTTCGTCATTAGCAGGCCTCTCTTCTATTTCCAAAGCATTCAATTTAGGAAATGTGGCATTCCAACAAGTCTTCTGTAAATAACGTAGTAGTTATAAACCACATGTCTGTCGTTACCTTTTTTGTTAGTTTTACCTGACTGCACTGCTGCTGGCATCAAGGTCATGGGCTGTAACAGAGCCAATGATCGATCCTGATGGAGTGTCTTCATATGTGTCCACGGAGTAGTATGGTTTGGTAAAGACAGGAGGCTCGTCCATGTCCAAGACATCCACCTTGACGGTAGCTGAATCCCTGAAGGGTCCCAAGTGCAGAAACCGAGGATCAAACTCTGCATTAGATGCTTCAACCTTGAAAGTGTAGGAATTCTTTGTTTCATAGTCCAGAACCTGATAAGCAATGAGAAACAGAAAATATTACATTACGTGATATAAACCGACAAGTAATTCTCTCTCTCACACTCACTCCCCTCTCGCTTGACCACAACGTCAAGGTCATGATCTCATAAAATGTTTTCATGATGTTTTTTTTCTAAATCATTTCAATATTGTCTATCACGGAAGCAATGCATCACAACAATACTTTAATAAAGTCACAGAATTACAAGTATGCAAAATAACTCACATTTTTAGACAAATATTATGGCTGTAAAAAAACAAACGAAGAATTGGAAAACACGGTTTAATTTAAAAGATGTGAGCGCATCAAATCAAACTGAATTGAATTATTCTTCTTTAAAATATATATCACGATATGAATTGAATCGTCTTTTATGACAGCGATTTATCTTTGAAGGAAATGCCACATTTACAGAATTGACAAGTTCATCCATGTGCATGTTAAATGACAAGAAACTCTTTGCATTACCCTCACGGACTGAGCTGTACCATATCAAATCAAATCTCAATACTATTGAGTCGAACCGAATCTAATCGTTTCACTTTAAAATGGAACTGTTCTTGAATCTTATGGCAGTCCATGTATTGAAATATTGTTGGATTAAGCCAAGGCCTAGGAGCCCATAAGTGAGGCGTGAATGATAAAATGTCTGAACGATGTAAGAGCCCAGTCAGCAAAGGCATCTGGCCCGGATTCGGCATGACATGGAGACATGGAGATGGTAATGTAGAGGACCAAATAGAGGGCTGTGGACCGATCCCTGCGGGACTCTCTATGTAACATGGCAAATGCAACGCCAAGATCAAGTAATAATCTTGATGGGGTCCATGGCTAGGGAAAAGATCATTAGTCACTTTAGCAAAGGCTGTCTCAGTCAAGTGGTCGGTCCTAAATCCTGACTGAAGAAATTCAAATCAATTGTTAACGGCTATGTAATCGGCGAGCTGCTACGCTACGACTTTTTCGAGACTTTTGCAATAAACGGGAGATTTGAAACTGGAGACTTTCTGGGTTGATCAGTATATACAATGTGATACACCAATTTACTTGTAAAAGACTATCTTAGCGAGAGTTGGCTCGAACATTACAGACTCCACACCTGTTTGTTCAGGCTTGCTGATCACCTGTAACCCGGACGGCTCAAACAATAATCTACATTTCTCGAAAGAGTGTTGGCACCTTCCCAGTTATATTCTCCGTAAATATTAGCCGTAAATATTCTCCAAAAAGTGAAAAGTTAAAAAAAAAAAAAATAGGATGTAGGTGAGAGGAACAACCAAAAAAATGCGGGTGTTCGTCTCTCCAGTGAGCACTGTGTTGCAAAGTGCTGGCTGTCACACACAAAAGTACACACAAACTACTTTGCCAACTAACTCTTCCACCATTTCATGGTATACTAAATCAACTGTTTGTGGAGGCCTCTATTTCTTGGCATAGCTGAATATGAATGATTTGATCCCAACACATTTTTACTATGACTCACACCAAAACTCAGTATTGTTGTCACTTTACCTGTCCAGCTTTGGAAGTTTCGCAGACAAATGTAGTTGATGGAAACACCAGTTTAGGTGGGAACTCGTTCACATCCAGGACATTGACCATCACTATCACTTTGGTGGACAGCAAGGGGTTTACTGAAAATAGTCAACATAAAGCCATGAGTAGACACGTGATTATGGCTGTTCACAATTCCTATAATATTGGTAAATACATTTAGAATGATCATGGATGCTGCAATAGAAGTAGTTCTATCACACATAAACATTCAAAAACATGCAGAGCCTGTCAAAGTAACACAGTAGCTTACAGTTTGGAATACGAATAAAGTGAGAAAGTTCATACTTGTTCCACTTAATGCCTCTATCAATTTAATGTAAACCCTTTGTAGCAGAAATGTGCAATAGCTCCCGCATAGTTGAAGGCAAGATTAAAAAAAATGTGTTGCAATTCACCAAGTAAATTTATTTATTCTTTAAACCACCATGTTTCCATAAATCCATAGGAGCATGTTCTAGCTAGCAGAATACATAAATATAAACATAACTGGGCAGCAGCATCGGGTTGTTTGTTTACTCAAACAAAGATTACGGTATGTAATGTGTTGCGGTTATACCTAATAAGATAAGATAAGGAAACCTTTATTGGTCTCACAATGGAGACATTTGCAATCACCAGCAGCAAAAATTTGAGGGGGATTGGGGGGGAGTAGAAAAAGAAAAAGTATAACATGCACAAAATGTTTAAGAGAAAAAAAAATAATTGTACACGGTACAGAATGCAATACAAAATATAAAAATACAAAAATACAGATACAGATATATACAGATACAGATACATAATAATGACTACTTACTGACTTTGTTTGCTACCACAGTGATGTTGTGCTGAAATACTTCCTCTCTGTCCAGGTATTCATTCAAGGAAATGGTGCCATCAATGCTGTCAATATCAAAATAGCTGTCATACTCTTTCTGCCATTCAAGTGAATATCTGCATAAATCAGACCAAAATGTCAGGGGAAACTTAGATGAGGGAAAGATCAATTCTTGGCTAACACACGGTAAACAAGTTCGTCATTAGCAGGCCTCTCTTCTATTTCCAAAGCATTCAATTTAGGAAATGTGGCATTCCAACAAGTCTTCTGTAAATAACGTAGTAGTTATAAACCACATGTCTGTCGTTACCTTTTTTGTTAGTTTTACCTGACTGCACTGCTGCTGGCATCAAGGTCATGGGCTGTAACAGAGCCAATGATCGATCCTGATGGAGTGTCTTCATATGTGTCCACGGAGTAGTATGGTTTGGTAAAGACAGGAGGCTCGTCCATGTCCAAGACATCCACCTTGACGGTAGCTGAATCCCTGAAGGGTCCCAAGTGCAGAAACCGAGGATCAAACTCTGCATTAGATGCTTCAACCTTGAAAGTGTAGGAATTCTTTGTTTCATAGTCCAGAACCTGATAAGCAATGAGAAACAGAAAATATTACATTACGTGATATAAACCGACAAGTAATTCTCTCTCTCACACTCACTCCCCTCTCGCTTGACCACAACGTCAAGGTCATGATCTCATAAAATGTTTTCATGATGTTTTTTTTCTAAATCATTTCAATATTGTCTATCACGGAACCAGACCCGGGCCACTGCAGGACCGTCATTCATTGCGGTATGTGGGCCGAGTGTCGTGCCGTGTCCGCGCCAGAACCGGGCCAGACCAATTTTGCTGACTGGGAGGAGTGCCATGTCAAGATGAAGTGACGGTGATGTGATGGATTTATTGCAAAATAAATCAATGAGTTAATGGGTTAACTCCCAGGAATAGGCAGTTCCGACAATTAGAATTTCGCATCTATTTAAATTGTAATTTCAAATTTGAACGCTAGAGTGCGCCAAACCCAATTTAAAGAAGGCATTTAGAACACAGTCCAGACAAGTGCAATGCATCCATCCACCCATCCTTCCAGCAATTTTCCGATCCTCTTTATCATCACAAGAGTCGTGGGGGGTACTGGAGCCAATTCCAGCTGCCAGACAAAATGCTTTTGTAGACTTCTGAATTCATTCTGTTGTGACCATCCTGAGTTATGAAATATGCATGACATAGAACAAAATGTAAACCACTCATCAGCCAAAATAATCACACAGACAGATTGGATTTTGCGAAGAAGTATCGAGATGAGCAACAAATGTTTTGGAACAAAGTCTTATGGGCTGATGACAAGAGTAACCTCAAACAAAGTGAGTGGTGGAAAGGCCAAAGTATTGAATAAGAAAGGATCTACGTATGATCGGGTCCAAAGTGCTCTTCTTCAGGCAGGTAGTTGGATTTACCTGGGAGAAAACTCGACCACGTGTCCTTGCATCAACCAGAGAAAAACCTTTCCAGTGTTTGCTCTGTTAAAATGACAGTCCAGGTTTCTTGATACTTACATTTTGATGAGCTAAAAGACAGGATCTTATCAAGTATGAAGTAAAACTTTATTGTCAAATGTGCTGTATTTGTATCATGCAGCACATTTGTCCTGCAGTATGTGTAACATACAGCACAGATGAAATTTCCTCCCTCTTCAACACACAACAGACAACAAGAGGAGCCGCTGCGGGTGCCCGCGCCGCCATCAAAAAAAAACACTTAACATAAAATGACAAAATAATACAACACAACACATAAGACAGTCGTGCCTACTTAACCACTTTTCCTCCATTCACTTTGTTGTTTGAAGCAGTAATAGATGAAAGAGGAGTGAATCAAAGTGTCCTTTTCACCAGTGGATCAAAGACGTCATGCTGAAATGTGCACACGCTACAAGCTAAGTTTGAAAGCAACAAGAAGCTGTACCATCCATTAACGAAAAAGAGAGATTGGCTCTCTTCTCCTGTCCCATGTAAATCCGCTTCAATTCCAAGCCGCGACTCCCAGTTCCACATACGCATCGGCGCTTCATCAGGAATTACAGCCAGAACGCACTACCACTAACCCGTTTAACCTCCACCAAAGTCCCATGTACGTGGGATTTTAACGCTGGAACATCTTTTCAAGAATTAAGGAATGTGTTCACTAATACACTTTCGTTATCCTTATCCAAATATTCTTTTTGTTGTAGATGTGGATGCTTCTGATTCAGGAGTGGGGACTGTGCTGTCCCAGCGCTCCCCAGTCAACAAGAGACTCTACCCCTTCACCTTTTTCTCACATCGTCTCAATCCTGCAGAAGCCAACTACGACGTGGGAAACCGGGTACTGTTGGTCATCGTTCTAGTCCGACAAGAGTGGAGACACTGGCTCGACGGAACTAACTGTGTACACCGACCACAAAAACCTCGCATAAATTCGTTCAGCCTAGAGAATGAATTCACGTCAAGATAGGATAAGATAAGATAAGATAAGATAAGATATCCTTTATTTGTCCCACACTGGGGAAATTTATAGTGGGCATTACTATTCACCCACTATAATTCACACTCACCTACCGTAAGGGCTCCAAGAATGTGAAGACGGATGCCCTGTCCCGGATCCATGACCCGCGGAGGAAAGTAACTAACCAGAGAACATCCTGCTAGATTACTGATCGTTGGGGCGCTGAGGTGGGAGATCGAGCAGAAAATCCAGGAGGCTCAGGACAGAACCCAAGTCGTGGCTGGATGTAGAATTCTGGACCAGTTGAAATTTATGGAGGAGTTTGTGATGGACACTGAAAAAGAATGAATTGCAATAGTCCAGGGGTCCCCAACCTTTTTTGCCCCATGGACCGGCCACAGCTGCACTCGCCTAAGGTGGCTTGCCATCACGGGGTACTTTCTATCTCATCACTCAGCGATTTTGGTGGCCAGATCTTAAGAAAAATATGATGGACTACATCAAAGCCTGCTTCACCTGCACCTGCAGGAAAGCATCCCATCAACCACGGGCTGAGTTGCTGCAACCTCTACCAGTTCCACCTCGACTTTGGTCCCACAGCTCCCTGGACTTCATCACTTGCCTTCCTGCTACCAGAGGCAAGTCTGTCATTCTCACCATTGTCGACCGCTTCTCTAAAACCGCTCATTTCATCACCTTGCCCGTGGTACCATTCGCCTTGGAGACTGCCAGCCTCCTCATCATTTAAGTCTTCCATTTTCATGGGGCATTGTGTCTGACCAGGGTCCTCAATTCATCTGCAAGGTCTGGGAGAGCTTCTGCCAAGCCCTGGGAGCACTTCTGCCAAGTCCTGGGAGCCACGGCCAGCCTGTCTTCTGGATGTCACCATTAATCCAATGGTCAAAAAGAGAGAATGGATCAGGACTTGGAATCAGCTCTTCCCTGTGTTTGCATTCACCAAACCACTTCATGGGCCATCCATCTGCCGTGAGTTGAGTACGCGCTCAACACCCTCATCTCGCCAGCCACAGGGCGGTCTCCCTGCATGGCTGCCTATAGATACCAACTGCCACTGTTCCTGTCGCAGCAGGGGCTGGTGCATTTCCCCTCAGTTCAGCTCCACTTGCGGCGGGCCCACAGAATCTGGAGGGAGACCAAAGCCACCCTGTCACGTACTGCCTCTCGCAGTCGGACCATTGCGGATCATCGGTGTTGCCCAGTGCCGACATAGCATGTTGGGCAGAAGGTGTGGATCTCTAACCGGGACTTGCATCTGGCCGGCACGTCACGCAAGTTGGGACCAAGGTTCACGGGACTTTTCAAGATGGAAGCCATTATCAACCCCGTTTCCATCAAGCTCCATCTCCCACAAACCATGAAGGTCCATCCCACTTCCACGTTTCCCTGTTCAAAACTGTGACATTCAGTCCTCTGGGAAATCCTCCCACCCCGCCTCCTCGTCCACGGGTGATCAACGGCGACCCTGTGTACACGGTAAAAGAAATTTTGAACTCTAGGTGCAGGGATAGGGATGCCCAATACTTGGTTGACTAAGAGGGCTACGGGCCAGAGGAAAATGGCAGTGTCCCCACTCCTGGATCTTGGACCTATCCCTTCTCCGTACCTTCCACTCATCCGTCTGTCACAAACCGGGCGGGCCGCCAGGAGGTGTCCATTGGGGTTCTTGTGTCCCCACCAGGTGACAGACTGGAGCCAGTCCTCCAGTGTGCACACCTGCTGCCAATGTTGTCATCAGGGAACCATGTATTTAAGGACCGACAAACCTTCAGCAGTTTGTCGGATTATTGTTGACCTTGCTGTTGCCCAAGTGATCATTTTTCTAGACCTCTTGCTCTCGTCATATTAGTTCTGGTTCCCTGCATTCTTTGTTTTTTGTCGGTATCGTCTTAATTTTATTATTTGATCTCGCCTCGAGTGAATTGGATTCTTGGCATTTTGTTTGGTATTCTCGGATTAATTTCTTCCTTGCCTTTTGCAAGCACTTGTGGTTAATGTATTGTTTTTCTTTCCATGGTCATTTTTGACCAGCGATTTCTGTTTCCACTTTGTCGGTGCATTTTGCGTGAATAAATATTTTTTTGTTACGGAGTTTTGCCGGGGTTCTAGAATTTTGGGATCCTAAAACATTATTTGGTTCACTTTGAACCTGACATGGCACCCTGTTCAATTTGGTCAACGTTTACGTCACAAGTCTGGAAAAGGTTTTACAGGGCCCTGGCAGATACAGCCATCTTATCATCCTGATACCACCCCCAGACAAATAGACAGACAGAGAGGACAAACCAAGACTCTCAGCGATTTTGGTGGCCAGATCTTAAGAAAAATATGATGGACTACATCAAAGCCTGCTTCACCTGCACCTGCAGGAAAGCATCCCATCAACCACGGGCTGAGTTGCTGCAACCTCTACCAGTTCCACCTCGACTTTGGTCCCCC